TGTTTCTGGGGCCCAAGTTAGAGTCACTGATACACACGCGCAGCCACAGTCTCAGTGGGGTGTCCCCACCAGGGGGGCGCAGAGAAAGCGCAGGAAGGATCTGACACCCCCAGCTCCACGGGACTCTCCACCCGGCGGCCCTGGCACTGCCTGGCCAGTGACCCGTCGGTGGTCAGTGTTTGAAGCCTGCAGCCCCTCCAGCCGGGAGCCCCAGCTCCAAATCACCCCCACACGGCCCAAATTCCAAGGCCAGGCTCAAGCTTCAGTTTTCCTAAAGGCCTCAATTTTTAAACCTTTTACACTCAGGGTATCCCCTGTGCTAGTTTGTTCCTGTGGCTATGCAGAAATGGGGGACAGGAATCTTCCCAGATCCCCTTTCTTTGGTTCTTGCAGGATTGATGAGGCAACTGGAATTACATGCAGCATTTAAAAATGGAGGGTTTTCACGTACACATGCCTGGCTCTTTGGCAATCAGGAAAGTGACAGCAGGTCTCGAATCCTAAGGCAACCAGCGCCCCCTTCAGGAGGGACACAGAATCTCAGTGTGCCCTGGTCACCACCACTCCCTATTGCCAGCCTCCCTTTCCTGGACTGACTTTACCTGTCCTTGAACACTGAGGTTTCCCAACTCTGACCTAAAGTTTCCGCTCGCGAGTCTCCAGTCAGCCCATTTATCTGTGATTTCCAAGTAGGGTATTAGTCTTAGACTCGGGCAGAGATTCCTGTATCACCCATGATTGATGCATCAGTTTTCAGGCCAACCTGGGCTGAGTCCACTTCTTTTGAGAACAGTCAGAAAGAAGAGACAGAGGACTCTCCCCGCAGCCCAACCACAGCCACTGCTTTCTAAAGGACCCCTTTCTCTTCCCTAACAAGCGGGCCTTTGTCCTTCTCTCTGCCACTGTATCTCTGTCATCTAAGGTGAGCCGTGTTGAATCAGACAACTGTGCTCAGAACCCCTGCCGCTACTGCCCGACAGGCCCCCAGGACTTCTTCAACAAAGTACCCCACCCAGGCGCTTTTTCAGTTTCTTTATATTCCAAGCCAGATTCCAAGCCAGATCACTAACAGAATTCGATTTTAATATGTTGCTTCGCCTCTTTTGGAAGCAACATGCCGGCTCCCTCGGGAGACTGCCCTGCCTTCTCCTTCTGGCTGCCCAGCTCGCTGGCCACGCGGCTCCAAGTCACTGATTTCACCTCTGACTTTTTTCCTTCATTATGTGATGGTTGCCTAGATTTCAGGGGTGAAATGTGTTCCTTTGGGGGAGCTTTTCAAAACAGACACCCCAACAGGCCCAGCTTTGCTGACCTGCTTCAGCAGCTGAGACCGGGGGCCTGGGAATCTGTTTCAGACACAGCCCTACAGCCTCCATTTGGGGACTACCTCGTGGGGCCCCCACCCAGCACAGGAAGGAAAGGCCAGTACGCTCAGCCTTTCAGGGTGCTGCGTACTCATCTGGTGTCTGTGCCTGTGCACCGGTTTCCTCTTGCACACACTGGAGTCACAGCGTTACTCAGCACAGACCAGGTAAGAAGGCAGCCCTCAGAGTGGCCCCGTAGCCACGCCCCAACCTGCAGTCCCAGCCACCAGGGCCAAGGCTCACCACTCCCATCACCACATGAAATGGCACGGAACCCCTCCAAGAGCTGGTGACTCCAGCTTAGACAGAAAGCCCAGCCCACAGGGGTTCGGTAACCGGCAGAGCCACCCAGCTGAACAGATCAAGGCTGTGCTCCTAACTCCTGCCACCATTGCTATCCCAAGTTCAAGTTGTGGGTAAACAAGAACAGAAGGGACAGTCTAGGGTGAAATGTAAGTGCTCACGCTGCTGGCAATTCAAACAGACCAATTGTAAAGTGACTTTTTTTGAGACAATTGTGCCAATTTGATGACAGCCTGGGTATTGCGGGAATTATCCCTTTGGTAGCTGTGATAAGCACAGTGGCCCCTCAAGTATGCAGGATTGAAGCAAGACACCTTGGATGGCATAATCAGGAAAAAGGGAGGTGGACAGATAAATAGAATGTCACAGAATGTTGATGCTTGCTTTATGTGGGTGTTGAGGAAACGGTGCTGAGTATAGTATTCTGAGTTTGGGTTTTTTTTAAAAGATTTATTTATGCCTACAAGAACTGGGGTGTAGGCCAGAGTTAAGAGTGGTGAGAGAGGGCCTCCCCAGTGGCGCAGCGGTTGAGCGCTGGGTTGCGAAGCTGCCCGGCAGCCTCTGCAGTGCCAGTTCGATCCCCGGCCACTGGGCGAGGGTCCCACATGGCGCATAGACCTCTCCTGCCGCCCGCTGCTCCCCTCAGCAGTGTACTTTGGTCCTTCTGCCTGCTCTGCTCCCTGCTCTGGCTCTGGTGAATTCGCTCACCCTCCTGCACTTCTGACTGTACCCCGTGCTTGTATAAATAAACAAACAAATAAATAAATCTTAAAAAAAAAAAAAAAAAAAGAGTGGTGAGAGGATTCACCAGAGTGGGGAGCAGATCTACTGAAACCCACTGCTGAGGGGAGCAGCAGGTGAGACAGGAGAGGTCTGCTGTGCCATGTGGGTAGCTCCCTGGCTGGGGATGGAACTCATGCCGCAGTGGCTGTGGATGGCTTCATAGAGCTGAGACTTAATCCTTGCACCACCAGGGAAGCCCGTATTCTCTGAGTTTGTACAGTTGAGAAGCTACCCAACAAAACTTCCAGTTCACAAACCTGGACGTCGGACCAGCCTTGCTGGGTCCCCAACCTTTGGCCCTGCTGGAACCCATCTACTGCTCGCAGGCAGCCAGCCTGGGGATCCCTCTGTCTACAAGATGGTGATAGAGGGGCCCTGTTCAAACCTGTCTGCATTTGCCAGACAGGCGTCTGGCAACCCTGCTTCTTCAGCTACGAAATGAACAGTCCAAGCACCCCTGGAAGTCTCAATAAAGTGAGTCACACGCATTTTTTGGTTCCCAGTGCCTAGAAATCATGTGCACATGATACTGCGTCTTCCAAGCAAGCGACAGCATCATCTGAGATACGACGTCCATACCTTCATTACCATGACAGACACGAACTGCGCACCTACTTTTGGAAAGATGGCGCTGACGGGCTTGCTCAAAGCAGGGTTACGAGTCTTAGTTGTAAAAACCAGTCTCTGCCAGGCACCATAAAGCGAGGCACGCCTGTAACACCCTCTTCACAGACCACCTAACAGGGTGACCCTGAGCTGAACGTGGGGTCTGGCTTTTGCCCAATAAATGCAAATTGCCTCTCGTTATTAACATCTCACCTGATCATATCACTTCCTGCTCAAAACCATCGGTGGCTTCCCACAAACTTCTAGACTCTAGTTGGCGCCTGCCTTCCTGTGCCGTGGGCCCCAACCCACTCCTCACACTCTGCTTCCCCCTCTGCCCTCCCACCTCCCCGGCAGCCCCCTGCCTGCCCCTTGGCCCCTGCTCTGCCTCCACTTGGCAAGTTCACATGCCCTCCTTCCAGCTCGGCCCGGGTTCCCCAAGGGCTGCTGGGCCCTGGGCCTGGACAGCATCCCCCTTGGCCTCCCGACCCTGCACACGTCTTCATCACAGGCCGAATCACACTGGGCTGTCCCCAATCTATTTCCTGTCCCCGTCGCCATTCTTGAAGGCCTTTGGAGTCCAGGGGTGCTGCTTTGTGCAATTCAGGTGGGCATCCAGGCTGTATTTCAGAAAAAGGTGCGTTCTGACTCCTGCCTCAGAGCCCTCTGCCTGGTCTATCTCCAAGGTCAGTGGCCCTATTGGTCCCCTAGATGTTCTTCAAAGGCAGACTCTGCCTCAGTAGGTAGGTGTGGGGCGCAGGCTGAGACAGGGACTTCTGACTGGACCTTCTCCCAGGACGACGTAGAGAAGCAAGACTTCCTCCGGCTCAGGCTGGCTCAGCTGTGCATCCGCGGGTCTCTTCCGCTGAAGTCATTTCAGAGACGGCTTCCCAGGACACAACTCGGAAGGCCATGCTGGTGCTCCCTCAAGTGCCACCTCTTCCTCGTGGCCTCTATGCTGGGCCTTGTCCCCAGCTGGCCCAGATGCCCCACGAGGGGAGCCTTCAAGCACCTCAGCCAGCCTATGCACTTCCCTGAGGGCCACGCTCACTGCCCCGCTGGAAGAGGGCAGGAGGCGGGCAGAGACCCGTCCTGCTGGAGATCTGGAAGCTGTCCAGACACCTGGGCTGACTCTTCTGAGCCCACTTGGACAAGCCCCTCCCATGAGACCTGCTTCCTGCCCCACCCAAGCCCGCAGCGCACACACCCACCGCAACTGAGTGTCCCCACTTCCGTCTGTCCACTTGAGCAGATGAGTGAATGGTGGAAGCGCACACCAGGAGGACGCCTAGCCCGGGGCTCCCACCACACACGGAGCCCCGAGAGTCCCTCCCAGCGCTGCAGCGTTCAGAGCGGCTTCCTCGTTCACGGTCCCTGCTCCATGGTGGTGAAGGCCTCTGCTCACCGGACCCAAGCAAGCAGGGAGACTTCTGATGGCCTCACGCAGGTCAGGGTGACCACCCCTGCCCTTCACCTATCTGTGGAGGCCACCTGCAGATACAGGATGGGAGCCTTTTTTGCTGGGAGGGCTCGCAGGGGCTCACTACCCTCAACTCAACCAAGGCCCTGGGCAGATGCAGTCTCTCAGCAAGGGAGTGACCGTATCATTCCAGCTCCCGAGCTCCAGCGTGAATACCTGCATCCTCCACCTGGTTGCGTCTGAGGTGGGACCACCACAGGCGGTGGCTGCGGCCCGGGCAGAGCCTCAGACACAGCTCAGAGGGTGGGGGGCAGGGAAAGGCTCCTGGCCCTTGATGCTGGACCCCACTGGGGCCGGCTGGATTGGGCCCCTATGCCCCAGGTGGGTGCTCGGTGACTGTCCCCCGCCTAGCAGCACAGGAGGCAAACACAGAGCCCTTCCAGCCAGGTCTGCTCCTACTGAGAGTTCCTCAGACTATGATGAAATAAAAGGCAAAAATCAACATGATTTGGCAAAGGTTTTTTTAAACTTTAAATTAAAAAAAGAAAAAAAACATTCACACAAGAAGAGACTGAACTTATCTGCTCTGAGGAAATATATTAAAGAAGTGAAAGGTTAAAAAAAAATCAAACCCCAAATAATGATAAAAATAGACGTTTCCTCTGTAAAAATCAGGCCTAAACTATCAAGTCATTCGTAGCTATTCAGTATTCAGAGCATGAGGTGAAATGCCAGAGTATAAAACAGTAAAAACAAACAAGGACACCCCGGGCCGCGCTGACTGGCAGCTCGGGCGCTCCGACGCAGGCGCCTCCCGCGGAAGCCACAGTGTCTGACCCTCTCCGCGGACCGCGCGCCTTCAAAGTTCTTCCCGGGTCCTGCTCAGCTGTGTGGCATGTTCTTCGACAAACTTGCTCAATTGCTCCAGATCTCTATTTCCATCCTCAAATTTAATTGGGTTCTTTTTGTCCCCGCTAGGGGCAAAGTAGATGGTGGGGAACCCCTCGACTTTGTAGCGGTCGTGGGTGATGTCATTGGCGGTGGCGTCCATCTTGGCGATGACCAGATTCTTGTGGCCCTTGTACTTCTTGCCCAGGGCGGCGTAGACGGGCTCTAGCTGCTTGCAGTGCCCGCACCAGGGCGCGTAGAACTCGATGAGCACGTCCTTCTTGGGGTCCATGACGATGGAGTCGAAGGTCTTCCCCACCACGACCTTGACTGGGCCCTTGTTGTTCTTGGGCACAGGCTGGGATTTGATGACGGGCTTCAGTTTTCCTGCAAGTGGGGAGGGGAGGGAGCGTGAGCACAGAAAATGCCCCGGACCCCGGGAGTTGACTGGTCTAGGTGGGGCCTTGTCTCCAAAGCCTACCCACAAACAGGCAACGCAGTGCTTGGGCTTCCTCATTTCTCCTACTCTCCCAGCCCCTGAAGGCCAGAGAGGGTGCAGCGCATCCCGAAACCGAGGTCAGGCCGAGGCCACATAGGACATCAACTCTCCTCTGAGGTTTTCAGACACAGCAGAGCAGATGACACAACCCGAGCTCATGCAGAGGCGACTGACCTTAAACTGAACCCAAGTGGGTTGAGCTAAGAGCCTACCAACAAGGAGCCAAAATTAAAAGGCTGCGCCCCTCAGACCACATTTAGAGACAAGGGGTCCAGCAACAGGAATCCTGAAGGTGCAGTTACCTGAGAAAGCTTGTCCTTACACAGACCACTTCACAGCCAACCATCCAATCAAACCTGACCCAGCCTCACAGCTCCCCCATCCCAGCTTGCTCCTCTACCGCCACTCCTGTGAAAGCCCCTGCGCTCTTCAGGGTGGGGAGGCAGGATTGCGGTTCTCCTCCCTCTCCTTGCTGGAGGACCTTGCAGGCTTGCTCTCCTCCCAAGAGTCAGTGTCATAGCACTGGCTTCTGTGCACACTAGCAGTGAGACTGCAGCGTAGTGGGGACCCTGCCCCAGGCCTGTTGGGCCTCTGGATCCTGTCCAGTGAGGCAGTCACAAGAGCAGCTGCCTGGGGCAGAGTGGGCACTGGAGACCATGGTGGGAAGAGCATGTAGGGCAGGAGACAGCCTCCAAGCCTGTCCCAACCCAGCCAGTGTGAAAAAACTGGGTGACATACTCAGCCAAGAGCAATAAATACATTCTCATTACAACCCCAGGCCACATTTACTACACACACATTATTCCCAAGTCCAAACACCTGTTTTACCTTAAATGTTTTTAAAATAAGTTATCTTGAAATATTCAAGACATACACATTTTTTTCATATTTAAAAATAAGGCAAAAGAGAGGGCCTCCTTGGTGACGCAAGGGGTTAAGTCTCTTCACCACGAAGCTGTCCGCAGCCACTGCAGCACAAGTTCGATCCCCGACCAGGGAGCTACCCACAGGGCACAGCAGACCTCTCCTGTCTCCCCGCTGCTCCCCTCAGCAGTGTATTTCAGTCAGTCTGCCTGTTCTGCTCCCCACTCTGTCTCTGGTGAGCCCTCTCATTCCCTGTACCTCTGGCCTGCACCCCAGATCTTATATGCATAAAATAAATCTTTAAAAAAAAAAAAGGAGGCAAAAAGAAAGATTCCCTGTTTCCATGCCCCGTCCTTCAGCACAGGAGAGAAAACCCGACATCAAGGCCAGGGCCAGACGAACCCTCCAGAGGAGTGAAGGGGCACCGCTATTGCGGTCAAGTAGCAGGCGGGGTGCCAGGGGTCCCCGTGGTCCACCCAGGAGACTCACCTTTCTTGAAAGCTGTGACAAACTCGCGGAGGGCGTCAGAGTCAAACTCATCGGGCTCCATGGCAAACTTGCGGCCGCCCTCGTCCAGGATGGCGGCGTTGACGTCCTCGCCACTCTCGCTGAGCCCCAGGTCCTTGACCTCCGTGGCAAAGTCATCCTCATCAGCCACAGCAAAGGTGTACTCAGGGAAGTCCTTAGCCACCTCCAGGACTTTGTTCCGCCAAAATTGAGTAGCTGCAATGAAGACCCAAGGCTGTGAGCTGAGTCTGAGATAAACTCAAGATTCTGTTGCTCATATTCCCTGACCTAGTCCCAGCCCCAAGGTGCCTCAAGCAGACAAGCATTTCTGAAAAAGCCTCTGCGAGCAGGTGGGCCATGGTGAGAAGGCCAAGGTGTCCGTGAGGCCTGTGTCCAGGGACACAAGCCTCAGCCGTCTGGGAAGCAGGGGCTGGGCTAGTACTTGCTCTGCTGTGTCCGAGCCAAGTCTCAGCTCTGAGCTGGACTGGACTCTGAGCAGCCCTCCTACAGAAAAACGGAAGGCAAGTGGGTAGCTATACATGCAGCACAGGAAGAAAAGGACCCTAGTGCCAGAGCCAATACCGGCTACCAGGCTGCAGGCCTGGGGCAGGATTCCTAAGTGCATGAGCAGAGCGCCCACACCCTCAGAGCTGGCCCCTGGGGACCCTCACCTGCTCGGTAATCAAAGCTGAAATCCACGCTGTAGTATACGACCACCAGGGGGCGCTTGGAGTACCGCTTGGCGTCGTTGGATGTCCTGCGGTGACCCACCAGGGGCAGCGCGTGCTTCAACACGTAGTCCTTGATGGCCGACCCTTCCGTGGAGCCCTGCTTCAAAGTGGGGACAGGTGAGGAGCAGGCCCCAAAACGGTGTCCCACCTTTTATTGTTGTTAATGACATCTTTGAGGATGAACTGTTTTGGGGTTCCCCCAACCAGCACACCCCAGGATCTCCCTGTTATTTTTGGGGGTTCCTTTCCCTCCAGTAAATTTTATGTGAGCTTGGCAGGCGACCGCAGACACCTTGTGCCCTCTTCTCTGGTCTGAGCTCAAAGTCGGTGTCAATTAGGAAGTGGAAGAGGAAGGCGTAGACCCAATGGCATAGTCCCAGCAGTTAAGGTCCCCCGAACGGCCCTTCCAGGGACACTTAGGGACGCCCAGAGCACAGGAGGGTGAGGGGAGGAGAGGGAAAGGGAGGGAGCCCCTCACCTGCCCACACACAGTCAAGCAAGCAGGCATATAAGGCTTGGAGCTCGGCCTTGAGAAACCAACCCTGTCCGCACGCTGCGCCAAGCCGTGTGGTTTCAGGTGGGAGCCTGGGCCAGACAAGTGCGGGGTGGGGTGAGGCTGCTCCACCTCAAACTGCCCCCTGCCCCCCATGGGGAGGCAGGTTGTCAGGCCAGGGGATGGGGTGGGGGCTCCTAAGCCTGGTTCACGAGGTGGCTTTCCAGGGGAGATGGCACCTGTGACTGGCTGGGTGCACAGTCCCGAGAGAACACGGCGCTCAGGGATGTCAGCAGAGGGATGTGCAGTGTTCTGGAGGCTTCTGCGGGGTCCCAGTCACCAAGGAGCCGGGCCCCTCGGATAGCAGTCCCACAACATACAAGAAAACTGAGGCCCGGCGAGGCCAAGTTTCTACCCCAAGGTCACAGAGCTAGAAGTGGGGGTGAGCTCCACGCTCGAGTCCCAGCTGGTTGGGACAGTCAGGCAAGTGCCCGTGTGGCACTGAAGGCTGGGCAGGGCTTGCCAGAGGCATGGAGCCCAAGTCTCCGAGGCATACTCAGCGGCTCCCCCTGTGACCACAGACCTGTTATCACCCTGCTGGCCTTGGCTGGAGCCGCCTGCCAGAGCACATGCCTGTCAAGAGCAAGGCCAGGTGCACAGCAGGCCCTTGTGGTGGGTGTCTAGGGGCCAGTGCTGGCTCAGCGGGAGGCATGAAGAGAGGGAGTAAATCCTTAGGCAAAAGCAGGCAGAGCTCTGCCAGGGCCCTTGGCCCCAGTCCTGCAGGGACAAGACAGCCCCTCCCCTAACCCAAACACAAATGCCCTCCAGGCTAGGCTGGCACCCAGACCCTCCATGTGGAGCAAACCTCCACATTACAATACCCCAGAGGCAGCAGGCAAATCTCTCACTCACCTGGATGTCCATCACCCGGCTCTTGGGCTCGTACTTGGACCGGAACTTCTCAGGCTGCATCATGACCAACTTGCTGGTAGAGACTTTCAAGAATTTGGCTATGTCCGTGCTGAAAGTGTGCTGGAATCTGTAATCTTCTCGCAGGTTGTTAGCTGGGAAATAAACAGAAAGAGAAAAGGTCAACGATTAAATGTGCTCAGTGGCCGAGGTTTGTTCATCGCCCACAGTGACCAAAGCAAAGGCCCTGACAAAGTGACGACCACCGGGCATGACACAGAGACACCGGGAGCTTGGACACTTGAAGGGGGTTTACTCTTAAAAACCCGGGACAGGTGTAAATTACAGCCTAAAAAACCGTACCTTGGAATTTGCGAGGGAAAAAAAAACCTCAAGAAAAACCCTACAGCTGGGGCCTCCCCTGTGGTGCAAGGGGTTAAGCATCGCACTATGAAGCAATCCGCAGCCTCTGCAGCATGAGTTCAATCCCAGGCCGGACAGGGAGAAACCCACAGGGTGCAGCAGACCTCTCCTGTCTCACCCGCTGCTCCCCTCAGCAGTGGATTTCAGTAGAGCCACCTGTTCTGCTCCCCACTCTGTCTCTGGTGAGTCCTCTCACCGCGCCCCCCCCCGCCCCGCGCATCTCTGGCCTGTACCCCAGCTCTTGTATACATAAATAAATCTTTAAAAAAAAAAAAAAAGGGCCTCCCTGGTAGTGCAGCAGTTGAGCGCTGGGCTGCGAAGTTGCCTGCAGCCTCTGCAGAGCCGGTTCGATACCTGGCTGCTCCCCGGCCACTGGAGGAGGGTCCCACATGGCGCACAGACCTCTCCTGCCGCCCGCTGCTCCCCTCAGAAGTGTCCTTCGGTCCTTCTACCTGCTCTGCTCCCTGCTCTGGCTCTAGTGAATTCTCTCACCCTCCCGCGCTTCTGACTGTACCCAGTGCTTGTATAAATAAATAAATAAAATAAAATAAATCTTTAAAAAAGAAAAACCTAGAGCAAATTTCTCAGACATGACAGCCAACTGCCGGCTCCTGGGCTAAGTGCAGTGCTTTCATTTAAATCTTGTGAAACTCCCAAGATGAAACCCCATGCTGAGGCTACTGAAGAGCGGGGCGGCAGGCTTGTCCTGGAAAGGCCCAGGGAATGCAGAGATGGTGCAGCTCCTCTCAGAAGCCATGGGCCAGGACACCTGCCCCTGGAAGAGTAGACCCAGGCAGACAATGGACATGGGAAGGGGCAGAGAACACAGTCGGCAGCTGTTCATCAGGGTTTCGCACCTGAAAAAGACTGGTGTTTATTGGGCACTTGGTACTTCCAGGCTCTTTACCAACTGCCTCATCTGCAGCAACTCCATGAACCCCTAAAGTAGCAAAGATCACGGCGGGGGACAGAACACACTGGCCGAGACGTCACCACCTGTGGACCAGCCCTAGCAGGTTATATGACACACATAACCAGCGGGGCCAAGACTCAAACCTGGTTCTCACTCAGGAGCCCTCCCTTCTGTTCAAGGCTCCCCTGCAGAGGTGCTCTGGGAAGGGCACAGAGGTGGATGAAGAACCCGGATGAAGCTGGTTCCTGAGAAGCGAGGAGGGAGAGAGATAGAATAACCAGAACCCTCTACTTAGTGAGGACGAGGTCGCATCACTGTGACCCCGCGCCCTGAAGGAAAGCTCACTCCCATAGAGGCTGTCTCGATCTTCTATCAAGCCACCTCCAACTGACGTGGAAGCAGAAGACTCCCCAGCAGCCGCAGACAGCCCGGCCTGTGCCGGCCTGTGCACGCACCAGGCTGGAGCACTCACCGGCCTCCTGGTACAGCTGGTAGGCCAGGTCGCTCTCCCCCTGGAAGACCCCGATGATGAGCACGTCATCTCCGTCCTTCAGGAGCTCCTGCACCTGCTTCAGGGTTGGAATCTCCTTGGAAGGCGGCCCGGACTGCTCAATCATGTAGTCCACGATACCTGTGGGCAGAGATGGGCCTGAGCAGGGGCTGGGCGCTGGGGCACCCACCCCAGTCGCCAGGAGCCCCTGCCCACCCGTCCGCCGGCAGAGGAAGGGAGCAGCCTACCGTATTTTTCCCGTGGGCCGTTGTAATCAAAAGGCTTGCCCTTGCGGAAGATCTTCAGGGTGGGGTAGCCAGAGACATCGAACTTCTTGGCCAGGTCAGTTTCTGTGGTGGCGTCCACCTTCGCCAGAGGGATCGGGGGCGAGCGCTTGCTCAGCTCCTTGGCCGCCTTCTCATACTCAGGGGCGAGCTTCTTGCAGTGCCCACACCTGCAGGAGGAAGCCAGTGTGTCAGGGTTCCTCCAGGGTGGATGCACCCTCCCAGCCAGGTGGGAACACCCCCCCACCCGGGCTCACTCTCATTTAGGCCAGAGCCTGAAAACACTCCAGAATGAGAACCAGCTGAGCCACAAGGAACTCACCCGGACAAGCACTGCTGCCCTGCCCACTCCAGGCCTGTGTCTGGCTCACCTATCCCCAAAGACTTAGAAGCAGCAGCCCTCTCCACACAGATGGGCTCTGCACAGGCCCCAGCAACACCCGAGTCACATGACCCACGACTCACCAGGGGGCATAGAACTCCACCAGAATGATGTCTGCGTTGCTGACCACTTCGTCGAAGTTGTCTTTGGTCAACACAAGCGTGACTTCTGGGGGAGGCGTCCAGTTGGGCTGGGAGACTTCTTTGACCTTGGCGACAATTTCTAAAAGAAACCAAGAGACTGAGTGCCCGCAGGCCCCATGCCACGGTGCTTCACCAGCTCCAGGGACAGGTGCAGAACAGGGAAGGTGGAGGGCCTACGTGAGACCTCCTGAAAGCCAGCCGCACCTCCCAAGGGCTTCGCGGACAGTCAGCGCCATGCAGGCCTGAGGCCCATTGTGCCCGCTGCTGTGACCAGCCAGAAAACAAGACCTGCCCTTTCACCACCTGTGATGTCACCCACCAGCGACCTCCAAGAGGACATGCCCTTATCATGCAGGCACATGTGTGCCCACTCACTAGCTGTCACGTCACACAATGCACGCAGAACATGAGAAAAACAGACAGAGGAGCCGCAGCTTTGGTGCTCGGGCGCCGTCACTAGGAAGTGTCACCTCCCTCATTCCTCAGAGAGGATCCAACAGCGGAGAACACAGAGCATATTCTCTCGAAGCACTTTCCAAAGGGTCTTAGGAGCAGAGCAGCAAACTCTGAGATGCTTTCTTGCGGCGGAGCTGGCCCCAGGCCAGGCGTGCACCCCTGCAGTGCCCTGGAGTTCACCGAGGTGCACGGGCGGCAGCTCGGCAGCAGCCAGGGGCAAATGCCGCACCCCACCTGGCCGGTTAACCCGAGGACAGCCCAGGGTAACACATCACCCGGCCCACAGACAGATACAGTGTGAAAATAAGGCTCCGTGGGCATGACTATCTTCGTGCCCCCCGCCCCCCACCCCAGTGCTCAGAGGATCACAGAACAGACTCACACCAGGTGGAAGAGAACCCTGAGGCAAGTACAAGAGCCCCTGCATTCTGGGACACAGCCCAAGGTCTGGCCCAGGAGGGCGCTCATCCCAGACAAGGGCAGCTTGTGGCCCACAACCTGGGCCCTGGGCCCTGGCACTTCCACGGCCCCATGGTAACATTTTAGTGATTAAAAGAGAAATGACTGTGCTAAAGTATGCCCGCAGGGCATTGTCCGCTTAACACCATGTACTCGGTGCCTAACACAAGTCACGGAGGGACCGTCAGGCCCCTGGTGGGTCTCCACTTGCTGTGGACCCCGTGGACGGCACCCTCAGCAAGTCCTGCGCCCTCCAAAGAAATGCAGGTTATGGAGCTTGACCTGAAGCTTAGAGAGCTGGGAGCCCACCAGGCCCCGAGGTGGGTCTGCTGCCGCCGGACTGAAGAGCTGCTGCTCTAGGGTTCCAGCAAGCCCCTCGGCCTCGGGTCCTTCTCAACACATCTGCACCAGACCCTGTGTGTCGGGGTCTGAAGTGGGACGCTGGTTCAAGGACACGCTCACCTGTTACCTTGAACATGCCACAGAGAGTGCTCCCTAGTCTGGTGCACGGTGCTCCCACATCACTGGCTTGTCCTCCTTTCTCTCCACTACCCGATCCTCACTGCCCTCACTCTCGCCCTCAGGGAGAGGCTGGACCCGACTTCAGCCCACAGCACAAGCGCCACTCACCGTCCTGGGTCCTGGAGCCCTCGTAGTCGACAGCCTGCCCCTTCTTAAGGATCTTGATGGTGGGGTAACCGCTCACATCAAACCTGCTGGCCAGGCCCGACTCAGCAGTTGCGTCGATCTTGGCGACAGGAATGGGGGGGTCATTCTCCTTCAAGGTACTGGCGATTTTCTCATATTCTGGAGCAAACTGCTTGCAATGTCCACACCTGAGAATTCAATCAAGGAGAAGCAGGTTAACTTACGTCAAGCGGTGCACGCAAGAATCGCATCAGGGCCAGAAACGTGCACCATTAAGAGGAGCAAGACAGGGCCTCCCTGGCGGCACAGGTGGGTGAAGACTCAGCTATATCAAGCTATCACCGGCTACTGCAGCTTGAGTTCTATCCCTGGCCAGGGAGCTACCCACATGGCACAGCAGACCTCTCCTGTCCCGCCTGCTGCTCTCCTCAGCAGTGTGTTTCAGTGGATCTGCCTGTTCTGTGCCCCACTCTGTCTCTGATGAATTCTCTCATTCCCCGGCACTTCTGGCTTACACCCCAGTTCTTGTATGCATAAAAATAAATCTTAGGTCCTCCCCGGTGGCGCAGCGGGTTGAGCGCAGCGCTGTGAACCTGTCCGCAGCCTCTGCAGCACCATTCGATTCCTGGCTGGCAGGGAGATTCCCACATGGTGCAGCAGACCTCTCCTGCTGCTCCTGCTGCTCCCCTCAGCAGTGTATTTCGGTTATCTGCCTGTTCTGCTCCGCACTCTGTCTCTGGTGAATCCTCTTACCCTCCCGCACCTCTGGCCTATACCCCCGCTCTTGTATAAAAATAAATAAAAATCTTTTAAATAAATAATAAATCTAAAAAAAAAAAGAGGCACAAGAAACGAGGCAACATGACAGGGAGGCCCAGGGCGCCGGAAGCCACAGACCCAGGTTCACCTCCCAGCTCTGGTGTTCAATATCATGAAACCACAGGATTTTCTTTCCAAGTTTGGCCAGAGAAACTCTTCAGGGGGTCTGCGAGGTCAAAATTCTGTATGAAGGGCCTCCCTGGTGGCACAGCGGTTTAGCACTGGGTTGTGAAGCTGCCCGCAGCCTCTGTAGCACCGGTTCAATCCCCGGCCGCCCGGGGAGGTCCCACATGGTGTGCAGACCTCTCCTGCCGCCCGCTGCTCCCCTCAGCAGTGTACTTCGTCAGTCTGCCTGCTCTGCTCTCCCCTCTGGCTCTGGTGAGTTCTCTTACCCTCCTGCGCTTCTGACTGTACCCAGTGCTTATATAAATAAATTAATTTTAAAAAAAAATTCTGTATGAAAAACACTATTTCACGCAATCCCTCAGAGCCAGCGGGAACTGGCCAGTCACCCTGGCTGGCGACAATGCCGTATTCTGATGCTAAGCGTGCCAGCGTTGGCTGCTTTACAATGAATGTAGTAAAGAATATTTATGAATATCTTTTATTAAAATATTTTAATGTACTATTAATAAAATAAAGTAATTTACTTTTTAAAGATTTATTTCTGCATACAAGAGCTGGGGTGCATGCCAGAGGTGCAAGGAGGGTGAGAGAATTCACCAGAGACAGAGCAGGGAACAGAACAAGCAGGTTCACTGAAATCCACTGTGACGGGAGCAGCAGGGAGACAGGAGAGGTCTACTGCGCCCTGTGGGTCAGCCTCGTGGCCACGGATTGAACTCAGGCCACAGTGGCTGGAAATAGCTTGATAGTGCTGAGACTTACACCCTGCGCCACCAGGGAGGCCCTGTTTAGGTATTTTTACAGAAAAACCCTCATACCATACTTGAACACAGGCACTGGCCAACGACATAGTGTGTCTGACTCCGAGAAGCAGGGAAGGGATTATGAGAGCAAACACAGCAGGGTGGGGAGGAACACAGGAGCCGCGGCGCCCTGCACCATGAGGGCAAAAGACAGGGAAGTGGGTACCTGGCTCTGCCTCTCCAGGGAGCCAGACATGCCCCACTTACTGGACATCGCAGGCAGGAGGGGCACAGACTCTGTAAGGAGCTGCACCTGGCCCCCCAGCACAGCTGGGCAAGCCCCTCCCCCACCGGAACCACATATTCTTGACTTGAATCCTGGATGCGGGACCAGCGGGCACCCAGCTCCTCCAGGACGCTAATGGATGCTGGATGAGGTGAGGGGGGTCAGGCATGTGGGCCTTACCAGGGAGCGTAGAACTCCAGCAGCACCGTGTCCTTGTCAGCCACGAAGTCGTCAAAGTTCGCATCTTTCAGCACAAAGACACCGTTTTCTTCCTTAACTTCCAAGTCCTCGTCTTCGTCCTCGTCTTCCTCCTCGTCCTCGTCCTCCATGGCATCTTCTTTGTTAGCATCTGAACGGAGAGTCCCCAGGCTGGTCAGGAAACCATCAACTCGCCTCCCTAAGACTCTCCCAGAACCCCAAACCCTCAAAACGTGTCATGAATCTGCGAGGCCCTGCAGGCAGCAGTGCTCACCTGGGCCCGCCCAGAGATCAGGCTCTAAGTTTGCAGACTGGGTGTGGTCACCACTCAGAGCTCGTGGTTAAGAGGTGGTTGATAACCCCAGGTCTAGAATTTAAAGTCAAAACTCCACAGCAGCACTTGGAGGATAGGACAGGGCCCATGCCAGCTATAGTGCCCCCCCCCCCTTGCTTTCTGCATGCTTCCTGCCCAGACAGACCCCCGGCTGCAGCCGCCTCCCCATCTGAGCCAGCCCTCAGGCCTGAAGGCTTGTCAGGCCACGTTTTAATTCAAGGTTCTTTGACCCATACCCCAGCTCTGCCGTCGGGCACCTCATTTCGCGGTGCCCCACCTCTGTGCTCAAAGGCAAGGTGACTTCCACACCAGACTTCCAGCCTGTCCTTGGGAAAGACTGAAGCGTGATGAGGAAGAGGGTAAGGAATTAGGTCTGACTTACAAAGCCAGTTCTGAGTCATCTCCAGAGGGGGTGTCACCCCTTGAAGAAGTTTAGGGATTTCAGGTCAACACGCACCAAAACATGCTACAGACACCGCCTCAGCAGGGAGCCCGCCGGAGGTCAAGAACGAGGGGCCGAGCGCGTCTCATCGAGGCTCGGCAGGTTTGCTGTTTTCTTTTGGCCAAACTAGAGTGCTAAGGCACACAAGCACAGGCCTCGGGAACGAGGCTCTCCCGCCCGGCAAATGGTCACGAACACGCGTCACCTCCGAAGCCTGACCGCTCCAAGGGGCCGGCGGGTCTTTCGGACAAGCTGCCCCAGAGATAGTCCAGTACCGTGAGCTACTGCTTTGAAGACACAGTGCTCCCCCGAGCCCAGGAGTCAAGTCCTGGCAGTAAGTCAGGGAAGCAGGCACAGCCTCACCCCTGCCCCACCCCCAAAACAAACTTGAGGCCCTTGTTTCCTGGGACAAGTTCCTTCCCCTGTCCACCCACCCCCTGGGCTGGGCCGCAGCTCTCCCATCCCACTCCCCTATTTTGCACATTTTGGGGAGAGAGCATTAAGAACCAGGCTCTCTGCTTCACCGCTGCAGCCTGAGTGTGATCCTGGCCAGGGAGTTGACCCACAGGGCGCAGCAGACCTCTCCTGTCTCCCCGCTGCTCCCCTCAGCAGTGGATTTCAGTAGATCCTCCTGTTCTGTTCTGGTGAAGCCTCTCACCCCCTGCACCTCTGGCCTGCACCCCAGCTCTTCTATGGGGCGGGGAGGAACCGGCTCCCTGGATGCGCTGGGGGCCAGACCCCAGAGAAGACAAACTGGCCTCATGCCCGTCTCCACCTTCACAACTCGGAAGGGTAATGACACTCGAATGCCCTGAAGCCCCTCCACTGGGGGTGGGCCATGCACACTCTCTGCCCCGTCCTCGTGCATGGAGGGCCTAATGTTCTTGGGGAACCTCTGAACTTAACGTTGGCTGGCTGGGGGTTCGGACATGTCCAGAAATAGTGTCTGCCCCTGAGCCTGCAGGGCCAGTTCTGTGCTCCCCTAGGCCAGCCTATGGACCTCAGTGACAGGTGCTTTCAAGAGGGCTGGTCTCCCTCACCTCTCTTCAAAGTCCTACCGAGGGGGGCACGAGGCTGCAAACCTGGTGGGGAGGAGGATCCTACAGGTTCTCTGCTCCAGTGAGGGGAGCGAGGAGGAGCCCGGAGGCTGCAGAGGCCTGCCTGGCTGTGAGCTACCCAGTGAGGCGGGGTTCTCCAGCCATGCCTACCCACGCTGCCTCACAGGTGCCTCACAGTAGCGCAGGGGTAGGGGGCAAGCTGGAGAGAAAGCACTAGGGCAGAACGCGGCCAAGGGGGATTCAGCATCTACTCCACAGGGAGGAGGTGAATTTACAAAACAGAGAAGCAAAGCTGCCTCTCAGCCGGAAGCTGCCATCTGTGAAAGGGTATGGGAAACTCATTTCTTGAAACCTTAAACAAGGTAATTTCCGTTTTTATTGTTTAAGGACGGCAAGCAAAAAGCCAGGACCTAATCACGGTCTCTAGCTGTCTAGGCAGGACGCCTCCCCGTCCATTCCCCCAGAACGCGGACAGCCCGGACTGAATCAGTCTGGTGAGAAGGCGCTGCTTTGTGTTCCCACCCCCTGCAAGGAAAACACCCCACTCAATGCGGGGGAGACCACACCTCACTAGGCTTCACTTTGAAATCCAGTTAAATCCAGTCTCCCCGCACCTTCCGGAAAGTATCCTCCTCCTCACCAGTGTGGCCTCTCACACCATCTCCACATGGCTTGGCCTACAGGGGAACGCCACTGCTGAAATGTGGGGCCCCGTGTCATCTGGGGGACATAAGAAGCGATCCCTTGTCCACACCACCACCCGGCCTGGACGCTGGCCACGCCTTCAGGGTATCCCCACCACCACAGAAGAGCTTGCCATGGTCAAACTCCACCACTGGTCAGCACCTAACGGCCTGTACTGGACAGTGACAGAAATGTGTGATCAGCTATGACATCACTATGTGCCAGGCGCCTCTCCCCTTGTGGGAAACACATTACACCCACTTTCCAGAAGATACAGAGCGCTTTATGTCTCCTACCCGTGGACCACCCAGCTACCAGGGCAGGGTCCATCCAGATCACTGACTTATCTGCTCTACTAGAGTGTCCATTAGGTTTTCTTCCCAGTGCGCACTGGAGGCAGGAAAGCCTGGTGGCTACCACTCACATAGAAAGACACCCAAGCCCCTTCTTAGCACTACTCGCAAGTGAATTTCCCTTTGTTTTTTACAACTAAGCCAATCCCCAACAGGCAGCAACAAAGAGTTTTCAAAATATTTCCCTTCACTGCTCTCCCCGCGAAGAAGTGAACGGCCCAGTGATTTCTGCCCTGAGACATGGCCAGCCCTGCCGTCCGTGGTTGATGCCATCCGAGCTTAAATGCCACCGAGGAACCAGGCTCTTGGGGTGGATGGGGAAACCTCAGCACGTCACTCTACTGTTTGAATTTAGAATGTGAGAGGCCAAAAAGGAAGACAAAACCAAAACCTAAAAGACTTGGAACATCCAGGGTGAAGAAGCTACAAAGTGGAGACCCCCCAAAATCCACAGGACAGTGATCCGAGTGTAACTGGAGGACTAGAAGCCGCAGCCACCCCAGAGGGCCCTGTGGCCATGACAACTCGATTCCAGGGTCACTCCAGAGCTTCCCAGGGCTTCTGCCGCCTGAGTGACCTGTGACCCAAATGACCACTCTCACAGGCCTCTTAAGAATCACCCCCAAAATCAAATCACTGGGTGAAAACCAAGACAAAACTATTTTGCTTTTCAGCAGCGTCCAAAGGTACCCTCCATCCTTCTGGGCCTCAAACTCGCATGCGCCCTCCCCCACCCCCGCCCCAAATCTCTTCTGCCTAAGGAGCCGTGAAAAACTTGTTCTAACATTCAGACTCTGCGGCTCGCCCCGCATTCTGCTGGGGTGTACTTGGGGGACTCGACTTGGACAGAGGCCCGAGGCGGCAGGCGCCCGGCTCGGCTCCCCCCGCAGGTGCGCGCTGGTTTCCTATCGGGGACTCGACCCGCGCAGGTGCGTTACTCAACCTGTTTGAAGGTGTAAAGGTCGCATCCCCCCCCCTCCCGCCAACACTAGAGAAGGGCGGTCATCTACGTGAGAACCAACTCACTGGGGAAAAACAGTCATTGCTCCTCCCCAAAAAAAGGCCGGCGAGCGCCGGGGCGCCGTGTTCTCGGGGCGCAGCCTTCGGGCCGGGCCTGCGCCCCCTCACCGGCGCCCCTCGGGTCGCTCCCCGGGAGCTGGTGCGCAGCACAGTGCCGGGCGCGGACCTCGCCCCGGGCAGCGACGCAGGCTCCCCGGCTCCGCCGAGACGCGGCCCAGCCGAGCCCGCCCCGCCGCGCCGCGGCCTCCCGTCCAGGCCCACCGAGGCTTCCCCAGGAGCGGAGCCCCGGCGGCCGGACGCGCCCGCGGCCCCCGCCCCCCGGGAAGCAGCGCCCCCCGCCCGGAGTCCCGCCGCCCGAGCGCCCCTCGCGGGGGCTGCCCCGGCCTCCCCGCCTCCTGCCGGGGCCCCTCGCGGCCGGACCCGGCCCCCGCCCCGAAACTCCAGCGAGAGGGCGGCGCCCCCGGGGGGCCCCGCGCACGCGGGCCGCGGCCCCCGGCGCCCCCGCCCCCGCCGCTCACCGTCGTCCGGCCCGCGGGCGCCCGCCGCGGCCAGCAGCTGCGCCAGCGCCAGCAGCAGCGCGAGCAGGCAGGCCTTCCGGGGCCTCATGGCGGCGGGCAGAGCGCGGCCTCCGGCGCTGCGGCTCGCGCTCCGGCCTCGGGGGCGCCTCGCGCGAAGAAAGACGCCCCGGGACGCGCTGGCGGGACGGCTGGGGGCGGGGCGAGCCGCGGGGCGACCAATCCCGGCGCGGCGCCGCCCACCCGTCCTCCTCCGCACGCCGCGCCGCGCCCGCGTTTAAAGCTCCAGGCGCTAACGTGAGGTGCCCGCTCCTGATTGGCTGCGCCGCAGCCACCAATCAGCGGCTGCCACTCGGTTTGCCGGGAGCGCACAGGCTGAAGGAGGGAGGGGGGGAGAACAAAGCCGGGGGACCGGGGCCTGAGGGGCGGGGCCAGGACACGCCACGGAGCGCGATTGGTCGGGGGCGCGGGAGGCGGTACACGGGGCGGAGCCTGGGCAGGCGGGGGGGCGGGGCTGCGGCGCCGGCCGCCGAACTTGGCAGGAACACGTGTGCCCGGCGGAGCGGCCGAGAGCCTGGCCGCGCCCCCTGCCCGGGGAGGTCCGGGCCGCAGCACCCGGGGGTCCCGCCCAGTCCGTTGGGGAGTGATGGGGCTGCCGTGTCTGCTGCATGCTCATGTTGGTTTCCTTTTTTTGCTTGAACAAATAAAAGTTCACATTCCATGCCCGGGTTAAAACAGGGTTGGGGGCAGGGATGCGCATTCGGTAAAAAGTGAATCCAGAGCTAGGATCTGGGGAGGCTTTTCTTAACGGTTTCATCTATGAACAGGTCATCAGTCTGTTTATTCCTCTCTGATATTCTGCAAAAGTGACAGACCAGCTACACAGTCTAGTAGATTACAAAGGTCTAGCCATGGTCTTCAAATTCCCCTCTTTGAACCAAATTTAGAAAAAATATTAAGATACTGACTTGTTTGTCGAGTCTGTGGTTTGCATTAGAGCCGATTTCTTTGACACCTGGCGATTTGTGTGCTTGCGGAGTTATGGAAGACAAATAGGGCAAAATCACAACAAATGAGTGTTTCTCTGTGTATACAGATTGTAAGTAAAGAAGAAAGAAAACTAACTACTCACAGACGTTAGCAATTAGTGAATTTTAACTTAATGCATTTTTTATTGCACTCCTGTGAATCAGATCATTCCCCTCTCAGTTTTGTAGGGCAAAAAAATATATACAACCAACATTCACACGACCCCTTACACTGCGTGATTTGTTAATATGCTCTGAAAAGAGAATAGCAAAGCATTCAATATCATTTTAAAGAGCTCTTCAAAAAGATAAAAGCCTGGCCAGAATATCTGTCTTTCCTAATGTTTTATAGTTTCCTATAAGTTCTAATTAAACTGAGAGAAATGAGCACCCCCCCCCACCACAGATGTAGGACAAATACAACCAATTTCACTAAGACCCTTTGCTAATACAAGATATGGGAGAAGCCTTTCAAAATGAACTGTGTGTGGGTAAAAACAGTATTATATTACGTGTGAAATTTAATTATCACGCTTTTTTTAGAAGCATTTGGGGTATAGCAACAGAAGTTCATTCAACAGCAAAATATTACTTTATCAAGTTTAAAAGGTCATTGTGTAACAGGGTGGTCCCCAGGAAAGGGGGAAGTTCCAGGTTCCCTGCCCCACCCAAGGAAGGGTGGAGCTGAGCAGGAAGAGGAGAAGCTGCAGAAGAGACTGAGGAAGGAAGCAGGATGGAGCAAGGAGCCCTGGAGGAGGCGCATGGAGCCTAGAGACACGTGAAGAAACTGCGCTTGTCTTTTGGTCGTGGACTAGGTGACACAGATGTGGGTGAGACCCGTGGGGAGGTGACAATGGCAGCTTTTATCTTGATGTTGATTTTGCTCTTTTCCTTCCAGGCTTGTCTGGTTGTTTCTGACCCTTTTCTGTGGGTCCCCACTGGAAGATGCTTTAGACTTGTGGCAGGCTTTGGGGCCTTGTTCTGGGCCAATCCCATATGGATGGACTTTTACCCACGAGGGGACGGGTAACTTTGGGTGCTTCATTTAGAAACTAGACTCTTTGCCTTACCTGTATTGTTTCCTAGTTTTATTAAAGTTCCTTCCCATTAAAGTCTCCTATGTTTTGTGTTGATGCGGCGGATGGCAGAACCCATTTAGAATAGGCAGGTTTGTGGGGCTTGGGCTACCCCTCTCCCTGTCCTATAACAATTGTTCCCTCTTTATCCCTAAATTTCAACCAGTTTGGTTATGGGAGCAATTCTGTGAGACCACTGCGTGGAGAGTCAGCACAGAGAGTGGTGAAATATTTGCCACTATCTCCGAGATCTCTGTAATTAGTTGTAAGCTCAAGCTCAGAGAGAATGACTTGAGTCACGGAACCAGAGGCTGCGTTGCCTCTGGGCAGCCATTTAACAGGATTAGACCTTGTTTGTAGGTCTATTTGGGGTTGTGCTTCTCTCTTCTCCCACCCAGTGCCTATGGGGAAGTAACCACCCTCTCCCACCTAGAGCCTCCAGGTGGATCTGTGACTACCAATTAGTAATCTGTGATTACTAATCTTGGCACTGGTGTCAGCCAGCAAAGCCAAGATTATCTGGCCAGAAAAGGAAACTGAAAACAGCAGCTGCACATCTGCATGTGCTGTGGGTCCTGCACACATGATGCTGCCGCCCACTCTTATTTGGGGAGTTAAACGGCATGGCCTGAAACTTCTTATATGTTCTGGAATGGTCCTGATGGCCTCCCCATGGCCCTCTCATAGTTCTTTTTTTGGTAGAAAGACTGAAGGTTTGGCAGCACTCCTGCCCACCTGTGACTACGCAGGTGCTTCCCTTTTTCTTTCTCCTTTTCCTAATAAGCCCGTTTAAAGATTTATTTATTTATTTATACAAGCACTGGGTACAGTCAGAAGCGCAGGAGGGTAAGAGAACTCACCAGAGCCAGAGGGGAGAGCAGAGCAGTCAGACTGACGAAGTACACTGCTAAGGGGAGCAGCGGGCGGCAGGAGAGGTCTGCACACCATGTGGGACCCTCGCCGGCAGCAGGGGATCGAACCGGCACTGCAGACACTGCGGGCAACTTCGCAGCCCAGCGCTCAACCGTAATAAGCCCTTTTAAATGAAAAAAAAAAAAATACTGAAGCCTTAAAGAAGGAAGATGTGCAGACATCTTTGCCTTTACAGGCAAACACTATGGTAACCAGAAAGAAATACAACCTGCTGTGATTTTCTATCCTACTGTTAGGTAGTTAAGGAGGGTGCCTAAGACAACAGATACTAAAGAATCAACAGTATCCAGGAAAAATCTGCTGGGGCTGATAGGGCAACATCTGGGATGTGCTTGCTGGGAAGGCAGGGGCAGGAAGGACCAAGACTCCCAGGTCCAGACAGAGGGCAGAACATGAACCTGGTAACATTTTTTTCAGAATAGGATGGAGTGAGCAGGTCCTTGCATCCCATTGAAGATCCCTTGCCACTCAGTGCAGTTGCTCTTCCTGGATGCTACCAGCTTGGACTTCTCCAGAGTGTACTGGCTTTAAATGAGCTGCAGGGGCCTCCGTGGTGGCGCAAGTTGTTAAATCTCAGCACTTCGAAGCTATCCGCAGCCACTGCAGCACAAGTTTGATCCCCGGCCAGGGAGCTACCCACAGGGCGCAGTAGACCTCTCCCGTCTCCCTGCTGCTCCCCTAAGCAGTGTATTTCAGTAGACCTGCTTGTTCTGTTCCCCACTCTGTCTCTGGTGAATCCTCTCACCCCCCGCACCTCTGGCCTGTATCCCAGTTCTTATATGCATTTATTTACATGAATATAAAAAGATTTATTCATTTATGGACAGAAGAGCTAGGGTGTAGGCCAGAGGTGCGGGGAATGAGAGGATTCACCAGTGACAGAGTGGGGAGCAGAACCGGCAGGTCAACTGAAATACACTGCTTAGGGGAGCAGCAGGCAGATGGGAGAGGTCTGCTGCACCCTGTGGGTAGCTCCCTGGCCAGGGATTGAACTCATGCTGCAGTGGCTGCAAACAGCTTCACAGGTTGTGTCTTAGCCCCTTGTGCCACCCAGAAGGCCCTGCATAAATAAATAAATTTTTTTTTTAAGATTTATTTATTTATACAAGCACTGGGTACAGTCAGAAGCGCGGGAGGGTGAGAGAATTCACCAGAGCCAGAGCCGGGAGCAGAGCCAGCAGACTGACGAGGTACACTGCTGAGGGGAGCAGCGGGCGGCAGGAGAGGTCTGCATGCCATGTGGGATGCTCGCCCAGAGGCCGGGGATTGAACAGGTGCAGCCGAGGCTGCTGGCAGCTTCGCAACCCAGCGCTCAACCGCTGGGCCACCGGGGAGGCCCAATAAATAAATCTTTTTTTTTTTTTTTTTTTTTTTTTTATTTATTTTTTTTTTAATAGAGGCATGCTTATTTATTTATTTATTTGTTTGTTTGTTTTTGTTTATACAAGCACTGGGTACAGTCAGAAGCGCGGGAGGGTGAGTGAATTCACCAGAGCCAGAGCAGGGAGCAGAGCAGGCAGAAGGACCGAAGGACACTGCTGAGGGGAGCAGCGGGCGGCAGGAGAGGTCTGCGCGCCATGTGGGACCCTCCTCTGGTGGCCGGGGAGCAGCCGGGGATCGAACCGGCGCCGCAGACGCCGCGGGCAGCTTCGCAACCCAGCGCTCAACCGCTGCGCCACCGGGGAGGCCCAATAAATCTTTTTTTTAAAAAAAAAAAAGAGGGCCTCCCCGGTGGCGCAGCGGTTGAGCGCTGGGTTGTGTAGCTGCCCGCGGCCTCTGCAGCGCCGGTTCACCAGAGGAGGGTCCCACATGGCGCGCAGACCTCTCCTGCCGCCCGCTGCTCCCCTCAGCAGTGTGCTTGGGTCCTTCTGCCTGCTCTGCTCCCCGCTCTGGCTCTGGTGAATCCTCCCACCCTCCCGCGCTTCTGACTGTACCCAGTGCGTGTATAAACAAAAACAGAAACAAACAAATAAATAAATAAATAAAAATGCCTCTATAAAAAAAAAATTCTAAAAAAAAAAAAAGAGAGCTGCAGCTATGCTTTGCTTGGAGGTGGCTTTGTATTCTCTCCTAGCCATAGTCAAGAACTGAGG